CCAATTTCGCCTCTCGGGCGTCCTGCTTCCGCTGCGGCGCGGCGCGGCCCGCCTCGGCTGGCCCGGCGAGGCGGCCTGCGCAGCCGCGGCCTGGCGACTGGGCTTGCGCGGCGTGTGGCACCCTCTGCTTCGCGTCCCGGGAGAGCTGCTTCCGCTGCGGCGCGGCGCGGCCTGCAGGGCAGCTGCCGCCGCCCCACGCGCCCCACCTGCAGCCGCAGCCGTACCCGCCACTCGCCTTTGCGCCGCCGTCCTTTGCGCCGCCGTCCTTTGCGCCGCCGCACGCATTCTACCCGCCACCGCAGTACGGATGGCAGGGTGGCTGGGCTCCCTTCCCCGCGCCCTACCCGCCGCAGATGCTGCCGCCGCAGCAGCTGCTGCCGCAGCAGCGCGGCCGGCCGGAGCGCCGGCCCGGCGACTGGGACTGCAGCGTCTGCGGAGACCTCGTCTTTGCCCGACGCACGCACTGCAACCGCTGCGGCGCCGCCCCGCAGCAGCCGCGCGTCGCGCCGGAGATGCCTGCATGAGCTGGAGCTTCTATTTAAATAAATAGAGCAGCATCTCCAAGAAAATGCATCGAATTTTTCTTTATAGCCCCCGGTTGCACTCGTGCGACGTAGCGGGGGGCCATCACTTTTTGAAACGAGTGCGAGGGTCCTGCAAAACCACCTAGCCGCTCGCTCGCTCCTATCCGTGCCACGCCTATCCGTGATCCTGCCGTTACCGCGCCGTCCTTGCTCCTCCCTGCCGTGCCGCTCCTTCCTAGTCCATCATGAAATAAACTCAAAGTCCACCACAGCCACCAGCCTCCACCTCCACCGTCGAGCCGCGATCGCTGCCGCCAGCGACGCCGCCCGCCGCGTCAGATTGCCGCGACGTGCGCCTCGAGTCGAGTCGGAGAGCCGCGCCGCACCAGCAGCAGCATCAGCACCAGCAGCACCAGCAGCACCAGCACCACCAGCACCAGAGAGAGGCGCAACCTGCCCGACGCCGCCGTGTCAGATGCTCCCGACGCGCGTCTCGAGCCGAGTCGCAGAGCCGCGCCGCGCCAGCAGCAGCATATGCACCAGCAGCAGCAACATCACCACCAGCAGCAGCACCAGACACAGACAGTGCAGTGTGACAGCAGCGCAGAAGCGCTCGCAGAGCGGCGCGCAGCGCCGCGCACGCCACGCCGCGGGCGGTCGGACGAGCGCAGCGTACGTCGGCCGCGAGCCGCGTCGCCAGCCGTCTCGCGAGAGAGCGGCGCCGCCGCGTGCGCACAGCAGCCGCCGCGGCAGAGGCGAGCCGCGGCGACGGCCGCGCAACTGAAAACTGCACATGGCAGGTCACACACTCAAACACAAACACTCACACACACACACGGTTAGGATCAGGAGCGATCTCAAAAAAAGAATTCCTCAATCGCGGCGCTTTCGGGTGCCCGCCAGCACGGCGCCTTTTGACCCCCATATCGTGGCCGAGGTTGACGCCGAGGTGCGCCCCTCGCGCTCGCCGCCGGCAATCGGCGCTTCGTCACCCGCACCCGGCCCTCGCAGGTGTCCGTCAAGTCAACCAGAGGCCCGCCGCCAGCCATCCCAAGCTAGTCCCAAACAGACGCAGCACCGTCGACACAGCCCCGCCCAAAAAACACGCCCAAATCACACGGTCCGTCGGCGGCGGCACCTTTGGCAAGCGTACTTGGGCGGTCTCCACCGTCGGCTACATCGCCGGCCTCGCGCACGCCTGCTTCGCATGAGCATATACGCGGCGAGTCAACATCTTTGCGCCACCCGCAATTTTCGATCACCATCCTCATCACCATCCTCATCACCATCCTCGTCACCATCCTCGTCACCATCCTCGTCACCGTCCTCGTCAACATCCTCATCAACACCGTCGCCATCTGCTTCTTCACCGTCGTCAACATCCTTCCCTTGATCGTCATGACGCAGGCCTCTGCCCGCTCTTACATCCCATCCCTTGTGCCTTGAGTGCTCGGGCAACCCCGCGCTGCTCATGAGGCTCGTAGGGGTGGAGATCCCGGGGCGAGCCGACAGTGACCTGGCCTCGAGCAGGCGCGCAGCTCGCGCACGCTCTCTGTGAACACCGTGGCCTGCCCAGAACCTTCCCGGAACCTTCCCTGCAGGTGCCGCTTCGCCCCGGACGAGATCCTGGCCTTCAACCACACTGCCCGCTCTCACTTCTCGCACTTGCCAAGCCAGCCCTCGCGATGAAACCGCGCCTATTTCTCCCCCCCTTCTGACTTCGCCCCTGCAGGTCGCAGCGGGGCCGCAGCCGCCTTGGCTCTTCGGCAGCCCCGAGTCCCTCCGTCCTTCCCCCGTCGATTCCGCCCGTCTTCGTGACGCCAACTTCCTCGCTGCGGGATGTCGGCCAATGCGGTGCGCTTGCTCTGCCCACGCCCGTTCCCCCTTCCCCGCGATGCCCGCGCCCCTTCCACGACTCGCGACACTCCATCCCCCCCCCCCTTTCCCCCCGTAGGGCCGACCACACGGCGACCGCCACAATACACAAAAACCCAGCGCGCACGCAGGACAGACAGGCGAGGCAATGACAGGCATTCGATGGGCAGA